TGTTACCAGCACTCATTTAATGGAAAGCGGAAATCTTGAGAAAGTCAATCAATAAAGTGCAACACTGAAACAAAAGCAACGAATTTCTTGAGGTTTACCGGTATCCTCGATACCAGTCCGGCGAGCTACCAACCAAATCAAGTTTATAAGCATAATAATATCAAGCCAACGTGGCCAGCGACAATTAGAAACTGGATTGGTGGCGGTGGCAGCGGGACATGGGAGACAAGCAACAAAAATTGCCGTCATTTCAGTTCTAGGAGTCAATGCACGATAAAATACAACAAATTGATAAGAAAAACTCGAAATTGGAAAACAGACAGAATTCCAGCAAACCAGCGTCATCAATTTGGACTAATTCGATGATTAAGCGCATACCAGAGACAGACAGATATGCATGTGCGCAGAGGCATCATGAGAAGAACCTTGCCCTGGGAGGAAGGCCACGAGAATGGCTGCTTCTTCACCGCAGCCTCCGTTGCTGTCGGAGATATGGAGATGACGTGACGCCGTTTATAGTCCGGCTCGCCCAACGCGGCCACCCTGTCAAGCAAGAATTCAGGGAAACGATTCCGATCACAGGACCCAAACCAATCGAAACAGTAACCCAACTAGGAAATCCTAGGCCATCAATCATCTGATACGAATAAACTTTTTTAGTGGGCCACGGATTAATGGCTCAAAAGCGCTGAGACCCTCCGCTTCAACTAGCGGATATGCGGAAGGTACTTGTCCAGCTATGTGGCTATTATAGCTGCTACTTTTTTTTTTTTTTGTCGTCCGGTATCCGGAGCTTCGCCCCGACTAGTCCGGACCCGACCCGGGTCGCACACCTGGCAGTGGTGGGTGAGTCTACCAACAGCAGTGTCTCCGTACGCCAAAACTCGAACTCGAGACCTGCTTAAGGGATGCCAAGCCGCTTACCACTTGGACCAACCGTTGTTGGTAGCTGCTACCTTTAATTACATTGATGTATAGTAACGTCTTTCGTTCATCTCCAATCAAATGTGCATCATGTTATTTTATTATAAATTCCCACCTGTCTAAGGATTTTAAAAACGCTTAAAAAAACCCTATTTGAAAGAAAATCTTGCACCAAACGTCTCTTTTTTGTTTTTCAATTTTCATGTATGTACTTCTATTAGGGTTTTTTTATGTATGTACTTCTATTTGGTTTATAAACAAATTAGGAAAAAAGTTTTCAACAAAAAAAAAAATTATAGGACAAAAGGCAATCTTAAATGTTCAACACTATAGATGAATACGTTTGAATTCATTTATCCTTATATTTTATTTTATTTTTGTTTATTTTATCCCTACAAATATCAAATATCATGTATACTTTCTAAAGCAATGTAAATAACAGTCTTAACATTAAATCAAAATTTTAATGGAACCAAATAATTTTGATACAAAATAAACTATTACATTTATGGTAATAAAATGATAATTAGTTATATATATATTGATCAAATTAGCACTAATTTTATCACATGGAAAAGATGTTTTTAAGAAGTTGAAAGACTCATTAGTTATATATATATATATATATTTCAAAATCAAAAAATAAAACTAAAATATGTGGCCAAAAGTATTTATTAGATGGAAAAAACGGTGGTATATTCATTAGTGCACAACACTTATTATTGGATTCATAGGATCCATCACAAGAGAGATTCAACTCAAGATGAACTCTTGGAAACAATTGCAACCCTTTCACATTTGAATTAGCCGGCTTGATGGTATTGACTGTTTTCTCATTGCCAAGATGAAGGCTAAAATCCAATTCAATATCCATCGAGGACTCATCGTCAGTTGCAGAACTTTCTGACCCCTTACTTCTATTGAATGTTACAAGAAGTGTTCGATATTCTAAAAGGTATATTTGTATTAGAACTCTACACCATCTTAGATTATTCTACTGTTTTTTTTATTTTTCAAGCTCGTCTTGAATATATAATAAGAAATGTAAAGTCAATGGAGGTGATCTTCAAATGCTCCTTCTAATTCAGAACCATCGAATATTGATAGTCAGGTAAGATCCAGAAAAATACATATTATGGTTTTGTGTTTTCAATTTCTAATTTTACTCTTGATATTTTTATTATAGTTTAATTCGTTAACTTTTTCCTGCAAAACAACATAATATAATTACAGATACAAAATTTGGTCGAATTTGGTGAAATTGAATGAACTTGGGAATGAGACCATGTTATTGTTGTTGTTGGTGGTGAAATTGATTGTACCAAGTTATGTATCATGACCATCCTCTTCGGATACTGAAATTGGAGGTCGCGCTCACAGCAATGGCAATAGTCATCGAGTATAATAACTATTGCTTTTTAATTACTTCTCACTATTGCTTTTTATTTTCCGTCTATTTTTTTTTAAAAACTTTTGATATCCTTTTCATAAATTATCATGTACGAAAGCAGCTGAATATAATTTAGTTTCATCTACTTAATGTTAAAACAAAATAGATATATATAATTTTTAACCTTAATACGAAAGTTATTTGATAGCAAATTATTTATACATGATATCAACATCCCGAAATTAAGCAACAGGAAACCATGAGTATACAAAAAATGATGATACATCAAATGTTTTCTATTCTCTCATAACTTGATATGAAACCAATCTTCCAAAAGTGTTTTGAACTTTCCCGGCTTTTGTCGTTGTTTAGTTAGGATAATGTTTTTGGCCATGTTGTCAAGATGGCGATGCAACACAGACGGGGGCTTAGCTTTTTATTTCCCCAGAATATCCGCTCATTCCTCTCCTTTCAAATCAGATGGATAAACATCTGCAGAATCACCTTTGCAATCAAGGAATAAAAGAACTCTTGAAATCATCCTCGCCATATTTCCAAAGCGTGATGTGTAACGCCCGAAACCCGCATCCCGCAATACGAGTTGCGTCACATGGACAATTAAAATAAAAACTCGATTTCCAAAAATCCGCGGGAATTTTAAACTTTTCTTTTCAGAGTAAGCGGAAGAAAACACTCGTATATACATATATGATATATTATTCGCAGTTATAATTATACATAACCGAGTGGTAGTATAACATTATTACAAACCTTAAAAGTCTACCACCGATATAACACAAACCGTTTCCCAATTATAAATGTATCAAAATACGTAATTATACATGATCGGTAGAGGTGCACTGCCCAGGTCTCCGATGTGCGCTCCTCGGCTACTGCTGCTCACGACCTGAAACGTTGCGTAACAACGTCCTAAGCTAATTGCTTAGAGAGTGAACTCGGACGTAACTCGGAGTTCTATTCTCATGGTGCAGGAAAAACACACACACACATATATATATATATGTATATATATATTAATATTCTAATAAACAGGAATAAGAAAACATAGAATCACGGTAAGCATACAACATTCACAATCAAGTCCGTACGACAAGTCGCAGGACAGAGTCCGTACGACAAGTCGCAGGACAGAGTCCGTACGACAAGTCGCAGGACAGAGTCCGTCAAATCGTCTCTACGTGCACCATGCGTAGGTAGTGTACTCCCCATGTGCGTAGCACAACCGCCTCTCTCCTCGGAATCCATCTACTCCGCAACCACTCGGATCCGGTATAAATATATTTTTCTGCGCCCGAACACATCACCCCACCTAGCATCGATGTCACCTCTCGATACTAGGCGTGTCACCCAACTCCGGCATTGATGTCACCTCTCAATACAGGAGCTCACCAGACGTCGGCTACAACCGACGCCATCGACTATAACGAGAGAGCCCATCGCCGCAACTATCCCTCGC